TGATAGAACATATAATAACACATTTTCTTGAACAACATTTGAATTACATGTTTGTAATAAATTCAAAATTGAAGTGATTGGGATCAGATAGGTCCATGCCACTATTTGGCAAAATATTGAGGTGTTACACCCTACACAATCCTCAGCCTTCTAGTTTATTACTGTTTAAGATTTTAGAAATATTTTAAAATAGAAGTAGCATACCAAATATTTTTATCACTTCCCTGATAATCTGTGTTCATTGTAATTCATTTCAGTTTCTACTTTAGAATTAATTTACTACGGCTTTTGAAAAACTCATAATCATTTTAGAAGTCTTCAATGTAAACTTGGATCAAATTTCTAACTTCAAAAAAAATTGGGAAATAGTGATATGTTGTTCAGTCAACATTGACTGAAGACACCTAAAAATTAAACTTTTGTAAATGATTTTGAACATTAGATGTATTTTTGTAGGTGTAATATTCAGACTATATATTCAGTTAAATTAATCACCGACATATCACCACAATATACAACAGAAAACATTTATGGAGAATTCAATTCAGATTGATAAAATTAACACCAAAATTATTGTCTTGTGTAATACTAAAATGTGAAAAATTCTTTCTTGTTTTAAAGACAATAATAATTTCAAGTATATTTTTTAAATTTAATTTTTTTTCTACATGATATACAATTATCTTATATCACACAAGAAACAAAAAAATCTTACTTCAAATTAATTATTTTCTTTATATAAACAAAAATACTTCCCTGTTCGGAATTGCCGCACTTGTCAAAGTATTAGTGTGTAACAAAACGTGTCTCGCTGTATGGTATTCACGAACATCTTACATCTGATTAGTGTGCAAGATGCAACAATTACACGAACGAACTGTTAAACTGTATTCCTGTGACTTGCCTTCTGGGAATAAAAAAAGGGAAACTGGTGCACCTGATTGTTTCGATGAGAGAGAGGTCCAACCCCTACCAGCCATCTCCTATGAGCTATCAAGTTCAATCTCCTAGCACTGTTAACCCAATCTCAATATCCAATACCTTCATAGCATTC